GTGACAACATGGGTGCTGTCATAGCACCCACTCCCAATGTGCTCATTTTTAAAATAATGAAACTAATCTATTTATAAGATTCAAATATTAATGTGTAGTCGGATAAAAAAAATATATATATATTAACGTGTAGTGTCAGTTTAAATAAATAAAACTACCGTGTATTAAGAAAAATAAAATAACATGCAAGGTCGGATATGTAGAAGATCATATTGCATTAAATTAAAAATAATAAAAATAAAATAATAGTACCTTCTTATATAAAAAAACAAAAAATATTAATATGTCCGTACGGACAAAAAAATTAACTATTAAAAATTATTATAATTTCTCTCGTACCCTTATATTTCCCATGCAAGTAGAAGAGTTAAAAGTCATTTATTACTTTCTTAACAGGTACCATTAAAATAGGGTCTTGCTACATCTCCTAAAAATATCTCCTAATCTCCCTAATTTTCATATCAAGTAAAAAAAAAAAAAAAAAAAGGAAAAAGTTGCCCAAAATGGAAATTAGGGGGATTAGGGGGTATTTTTAGGGTTCCAAATCATTTTCCATTAAAATATATGTTAACAAGATCCCTTAAGAAAAAATGATATAGATTCTAAATTACATCCATATGTGACATTTGATAATTTATTTAGTAGAAAATTTTAGTATTCCTAATATCACCCTCCTTTAAAAATTAAACAAGAGTCCTTGTTCGTTTGGGAAGTGGATTAACTTTTTAAATTTTTTGACTATTTTAATCTGAGACTAAAATTTAGATGTTGGACATTGGGGTCCCTTTTATTTTCTCAACAAATTCCTGTAAAATGTCCATGAGTTAAAAGTGTCTTCATTTTATAATTACGAGAATCAAAATTTATATTTTTGAAGTTAAAAGCTATTAATTAGTGTGTTTGGTTCTGTTTTTAAAAAATTATTATTTTTTTATTTTTCTTATTTTTTTGTTTTTAATGAATATTTTGGAAATTTTAAGTATTTTTTTTTAATTTTTTTAGATGCACCTTACTTAGATTTATCTAAATAATAAAATATTTTTAAAAATTAATAAATACACAAAAATATGAAAAATTTACTAATTTTTTGCATTTTTGTATTTTTTTATATTTTTGGTGTTTAGTGAAGTTTAAAAAAAAAATTCACAAATATTATATTTTGACTAATGCTATATGCACCAACTAGTACACTAATTAGTGTATCAACTTAAGATGTAGCATAATTTAAGATGTTTTTGATATTTATAATTTGTATAATGAGTGAGATCAATAATAATGTCATAACTAGAGTTGGTACACTAGTTAATACATTAATTGGTACATGTAGCATCACTATTATACTTTTTAAGTGTGTTTATATTAGGTGTGTCTAAAAATTTTAAAAATTGTTTAAAATATTAAAAAAAATTCATTAAAAACAAAAAAATACAAAAATAAATAAATAAATAAATAAATATATTTTTTAAAAATCAAAACTAAACAAGTTGATTATAATTGTTTTCCTCGTGTTAATAAAAACATTGGATTATTTGATTTTCCATTTATTATGGAGAGAGAAAATAACGAATGAAAAACTTTCATTAAAGTTATCACATGACTTAAAAACACACGACATCAAAGCGCACGTTGTAATTGATTCTCGTTACGATCACTTATTCGTCTACTCGAGATTCAAATTAATTTAGCATACTCAACAATCCAACAAGTGGTACTGTATAATCAACAATCGACAATCTAGTTGTAGGAGTTCTTTCAAAATTTTATACAAATTTTAAGAAGTGCAGAGAGAACTTTTATTTTTATATTAATATTTACACTCCATTATAATTTAAAGTGCAATAGCAACAGTTAAAAAAATATATTTTTGATATTTAATAAATTTTTTTATATAAAAATTCATGCCAAATTTAAAACTTAAAATAAAAAAATTTACTGAAGTCGATTTTTTTTCTAATTTTTTTCTATGTTTTTTCATTATTGGGATCTTCTAGTTTAATATAATTAAAAAAGCCTTTATTATTTTTTTTAAAGCAACTAAAAAATAATAATCAACAAAAGAAATGTTGACAAAAATAAGGGGGAATTATCCTCAATGGGAAAAAAGGGTTCTTACAGATCAATCAGAAGAAACCCAAATTTGCAATAGCAGTAGAGAGTAAAAAATTAATTAGATACTGATACTCATAGTATTTTTTACATTTTTGTCCTTAGTTGTCTATTTTTTTCTTTGCAAGCACCACCCTTTATCAACTTAACCTCGTTGCTGGTGATCTCTTATTCACCCAACCTCGCCACAGCCAGCCTATCTTTTCTCTTCGCTACCCTTCCCAACCCTTCTCCACATCCCTCTATTCTCTTATAGTCCTTTATCGATACTGCTACACTCAATCTTTTCTTCATTGCACCATCGTCAAACCTCAACCCTACTGCCACATCTAAATTGTAAAATTCCCAAATTTGCAAAACCCCTTAAAGTCCACTACTATGATCTCCATCACCGCGGTTAGGTGCAAGTCACGCGTGTGGGTTGCACATCCTATATAAAAGATTGATTTTATCATAAATAAAAACATAGGAACATAGTTCTAAATATCGGCCGATACGCTACGTATCGGAAAAATGGGGTACTGCGACGGATACAGGCCGATATACCACTGAGATTGAAAATCACAAGAGTATCGGCCGAGTCCCGGTACGTATCGGCCTGTAAGCGTTACACAAACCGTTACACAAGCCGCGACGGGCCGATACTCACCGGTTTGGACCGGTACGGGAAAGAAAAAGTTGAAATACCTTTGAAATGATTTTTAAATTTCACCACCGCGACACCCGATTCCCGATACGTACCGATCGATACTACCGATACCGATACTCCGCGATCGATACCGTTACGTTACTCGATACCGCGATTTAGAACCTTGCATAGGAACGATAGGAAAAGTAAGACGGGAGTTGGTGAGGTGGGGGTTGATGGTGGGAAATGGGTGGTTGACAACTATAGAGGACGTAAAGGTGGTAGTTGGCATTGAGAAGTGGAGAAGACGATGATAATGAAAAAGAAAGGAAGATACGAGAGATAGTAAAAGTAGAATGAAAGGCACAAGTATGTGCATGTGTGGTTGCAAGTCTTTTGTTTGTATAGTGTAAATCTTGTGTGTGTTGGGTACAAGTTCTGTATATGCAGATTAGTTTTATCGAAAATGAAAATAGTAGAGTTGGGGGTAATGAAGGTGAGGCGAAGGGCGACGGTGGTTGTTGACGGTTAAGGAGGGGTGGTGATGACTATAGAGGGCATAGGCATGGTATTCATCATTAGGAAGTGGAGTAAACGGCGCAAATGAAAGAGAAATAGATAAATGAGAGAAAAACAAAGAGTAAAGGAGAGATGGGGTGCAAGTCTGTGTGTGTTGGGTGCAAATATTTGTAAGAACATCCATAAAGTGGCCCATATGCCACATGTTTGTTTTATTTATTTACTTATTTATATTACATATATTTAATTGGTTTAATGACTAATGGGTAACTAATGTCTGTTCACTGTCTCATATGGTGATTTTATGGGACTTTACAACTTTCTTGATGGTGGGAAGTTATAAGGAGTTACACTTGGATATGGGCCAAAGCCTATCTATATATATGTCTGTGATAGCCATCAACAACCCTAAACGTGTAAGTGTTTTAAACTTGGCTTCCATCATTTCCATAATTCAAACGGTGTTTTAGGAACAACCTTGGATTAAACCCTATTTAACATATACACGGCGGTTTTCAAAGCTTCACTCCATAAATTTATAGACATATTAGAATAACTAAGCATGCTCCTTACCATGTTCACAAGTGTTCGGTTCCTTATTTCAGTAACACCATTTTGTTGTGGTGTGCCAGGCATTGAATATTGTGTAATAATGCCTTCTTCCGTAAGGAACTTAGCAAATGGACCTGGTAATTGTCCCAATTTTGTGTACCTCCCATAATATTCTCCACTCTTGTCTGACCTCAATAGGCTTGAAACTCTGTCCCTTTCACATTTTCCATACGATTTTGTAAAAGTGTTATGTGAGTGGACTTCTTTATACATTTAAGATTCGATCATTCAAGGATAAAGATTCAAAGGTTTGAACATCATGGCAGAATGTATTCTTCTTTATGAATTAAAATTATTTTAATTCTCACAATATTGTGTAGGTAAAGCGGATTTTATCATAAATGAAAAAGAGGAGGTGATAATGAGATCGGGAAGAGTTGGGTGGGGGCTAAAAATGGTTACAGAAAAATTGAGAGTGGGGGCAATTTGGTTATTACACTTGTTCATTCCATACTTTTGTAATTAACAAAAAAAAAAGAAAAAAGAAAAAAGAAAAAAAATTGCTAACGGACAATTAATTACCTCAAATTCTTTTGTTTTATGATTCCTAATAATTGTATTTAAAACAAATTGGTTTTGAATTTTACTGAATTTTCTTAATACATATATATATTATGTTTTTTTAGATTCACTTATTCTAAATAAACATAGAAAGTATAAAATTTGTATTTAAAAAAATAACTAAATACAAAAAACGAGTACAATTTTGTATTTATTGAATTTACAAAAAACGAGTACAATTTTGTATTTATTGAATTTTTATAATTTTTTTTTACAATTTCTCTGGGACTGAAATTTCTCTGGATTGATGTTGAGGGACCTTAGACATCATGAAAATAGTTGATGTCCTTTATACTATAAAATCATAATATCAGGGACCTTAAAAAAAATACCCCTTAAATTAAAATGCATTTAAAAAATAAAAAAAATTAACTAAAGTATTAAAAAAAGTAATAAAAATATGCATTATGCAACTTAAAAACTATTGTTAAAAATTCGAAGAGATAAAATTTTAAGTTTAGTTTTGAGGTGCCTGTGAATTAATCGATCAAATCAAACCCCATTCAACAAAACCAACGGACGAGATCGGATTAAACCAAGCATACGTGTACGCAAAGATCAGGGTCCACGATTGCTATCGTGAAGGACATCATCTCTTATACACAATCGAAATCGAACCTCACTTCCTTCATCATCATCATCTCCTAGATCTCGCCGCTCTCCTCAGCCGTACGATCGCCGGAACTTCCTTCAAATCGCACGGTCCCTGAACTTCCAGTATCTCCATCACAGGTATCTCTACATATACGTACATATCCATATACGTATATGCTTAATCGTTTTGATGAATTAGGGTTTTGGTTCTCTCTCTCTCTCTGCTGTTTGTTGAAGTAAGATTATGGTTTTGTACTAGCAAGGTGTTTGGTTTCCGAGAAAACGAGGAAAATTTAAGCAAGTAGAGCTTTTGAGCATATGAGGAACTCAAGTTCAGTTTAGTAAGGCTTAGTTAGTGTATTGGGGTTCTCCGCCAAATTGGCGTTTGGTTACTGAGAAACCGAGGAAAATTTGAGCAAGTAAGCTTTTTGAGTGTTTCTGTCTTTATGTTATTTTAATTTTCAGCAAATGGAGAACTCAGTTCAGTTTAGTTCAGCTCAATTTGTTTGCTAGTGTTGAATTCAGTTAAATTAGGGTTCTGGTTTTTTGCTCTCTCTGGTGATGGTTGAACTAAGATTATGAAGAACTTAGTTCAGCTTAGTTTGCTAGTGTTTCCCTTTTGATAAATTAGGGTTCCGGCTCTCTCTGTGTCTGTGGTGTTGATTGAAATAAGATTATGGTCCTCCACCAATGCAGCGTTTGGTTGCTGAGAAAACGAGGAAAATACTAGCAAGTAGAGCTGAGTGTTTTCTGTCTTATGTTGTTTTAATTTTCAGCAAATGAATACTCAGTACAGTTTAGTTCAGCTCAGTTCTTGGGCTAGTGTTGAATTCAGTGTGATTTAGTGAGTGATTTTTTGGTTTGTAATTGTTTTTAATCCCTGAATCAACAAAAGTATATGATATACAAATTGCGGCTTATTTTACTCCTGGACATTTTCCTCAGAAACCAAAGTAAAAGAAATAAAGATTTAAGTAATCAGAATTTTCTTTAAACTGAAGAAGTGGTGATTTTATTATAATTTGCATTTGATATGTATTGCCTCTTCTTCTTCTTTCTTCTCTGCAGAAGGAGCTTGTGGAAAGAATCTGGGGCTGTTCCGTGATGGCTCTTATAAGCGAAATAAGCTGCTGCAACTTTGTAAATTACTTATCAGAGTGGATTTACCATTGCTAGAAATACACTGGTAAATGTGTGTGAGGACTGTGAATTTCTTAATTTATTACTTGGACGGGAGAGGTAGTGGAAGGAAGAAAATCAGACATGGTACGTGTTGAATTATTTTTTGGAATTTTGGGTTTCACAAAGCTTAGCGCCTGTCTTTTGAGTCGTTGCATATACTGAGTTCTAATACATTTTTACTTATTATTACTTATTTATATATTTATTTTTGCATCTGGGTGTTTATTGTAATACAAAGTTTCCTCATTACTTACCAAAATTAAAGTCACATCTGGGTGTGACTTGCATAACTTGACTAACACCTAGAACCAGTGGAATAAAATTAACGTCAAGCACATGGATGAAAGTTTTCTGCATTTGTTAAAAGTAGTTTAGTTATCAAGTTAACATTATTGCTTTAAGCTATTGTCATTGCACTATGATGCGACTTCTTGCTAATGTAGATAATAGAAATTAAGCAGATCATAAAAAATCATGTGTCTTGTAGAAGTAGTTTCATTCACATTTTATCTTACTATTTTTTGTTCGAAAAAGTTCATATGCATTTATTACCAGTAAATTGTATAAATTTTTTGATTAGTACTAAATTTTAGAATTTTGCTTAACATATTAGCCTTGAACTCTTAAGTGGAAAGTTGCTAAAGTTAGTTACAGTCTTGGGTTGGAAGTTCTGGAAAATAAGTGTGCAGATGTGTTGCTGTTTAAGAATGCATAGAAATGTTGGATACTTTGAATTCAGTAACAGTTTACTTTTTTCTAGTTCTAGCTGTTTTAGGCTTGTCAAGCTTTGGTTGGTAGCAGTAATTGTTGCAATTTTTGAAATTTAAAAGTTTTATTTCGAAATTTCTTTTATCCACTCCACTGTGATTCAATGGATTTGCTATCTTGTTTAACCAATTTTCTTCTTACCAATGCACGGGGGAGGAATTTGCTGTCATGTTTTATGTAGTCATTTTCAAAATTTAGCAGATTTGGCCTCTTTTAATTGCTTAAATGCAGAAAGTTGATATCTAATACAGACAAGTAGGGTTTTGGATGCTAAAATCTTCTGTTTCCAAACAAGTATGGTTCTACCACAAAATTAGCTTTATAACTCTTAATGAAAACTTGTAAGCTGAGAGTGGCAAAGAAGTTGTACTGTTGGATGTTTCAAAGTTCTTGGTAGAATTATGTTGTTCTCTATGATATTTGGAGGTTGTGGATTTTAAGTGTCCTGTTGCTGTTTGAGAACCCAAAGAATGCTTGAGTTTGAATTCTTGCTAATGGCGACCTTTTGTAGCTAATTTAAGCGTATTCTAAGTTCTTTGTCTTCTGTGGTTTTGCATTTGCTGTGGATATTTTGCATTTTTTGCTGAGGATGAGGTTAAAAAGTTTGTTTGATTTGCATTCAGTTTACATATTATTAGGGTGGTGAAGTTTAATGTCTATTCTCAATTGTATGGTCTAATGCAAATATAGAAGTGTTTTTTTTCTGTAAATAAGAAAAAATTAGGTTGTTTTTCAAAATTATCAAACAAGAAGGGGACGAAAATGGGAAAAGGCTACATTAGAACTTGCAGTCACCCATCAATGTGTAATTCTAAAGGTAGCAATTTTAAAATTTCTTCAACAAGCATCTCTGGAGGTAAGACTGAATTAGCTGCATGGCCTGGGCAAGGAATAAGAGGGATGCGTATTATCTTCATGGCTGCTTGTGACTGCTCGGAATTTATATAGGCCTTAAAAATTCTATTTTTTTAATCTTATTTTTATCATTATTTAATTCTGCAAAAAACAGGTGTAAGTGAGCACATCTAATTTATTACTTGTGGGTAGTCTTTTCAGAACTTTTGGATGGCAAAGGGTCCGGGATGTTTAACTGATGGTGAGATGGCCTATGATAATTCCTCCAGAATTGAGCCAAAGCGTTCTCATCAGTGGTTTATGGATGGTACTGAGGCTGAGCTGTTCCCCAACAAGAAACAAGCAGTTGAAGTTCCAAGCCACAATTCATTTCCTGGACTTCTAAATGCAAGCATTTCTCCTTGGGGAAATGCTTCCAATTATCACTCTGCTACAGGCCAATTTACTGAGCGCTTGTTTGACCCTGAAACTGCAAGGACCGTCAATTTTGATGACAGAAACATGCCGTCGGCTGGCACAGGGAATATCAATATGGGAATGAAGGTTATTCAGGATCAATTTGGGAGAGATTCGTCATTTGGTTTGTCTATATCTCATACACTGGAGGATCCTAGCTCAGGTCTTAACTATGGTGGGATCAGAAAAGTTAAAGTGAACCAGGTGAAGGACTCTGAGAATTTCATGTCAGTATCTATGGGACATGCCTATAACAGGGGGGATAACAATACCATGTCAGCCTCTCATGCTTATGGCAAGGCAGATGACAATACCATATCAATGGGCCTCTCATTTAATAGAGGTAATGACATTGTACCGATGGGCAACACATATAATAGGGTGGACAATAATTTTATATCCATGGGTCAACCATATAACAAAGGGGATGGCAACACCATGTCAATTGGTCACCCCTATAAGGGGAACAATAATGCCATGTCAATGGATCAGTCTTTCAACAAGGGTGTGGATAATATGACAACAATGGGTCAAACCTTCAACAAGGAGGATGTCATCAATTTTGATGACAGGAACATTCAATCAGTTGGCACAGGTAATATCAATATGGGAAGAAAGGTCATTCAAGATCCATTTGGGAGTGATTCCTCATTTGGTTTGTCTATATCTCATACACTGGAGGATCCTAGATCAGGACTGAACTTTGGTGGGATCAGGAAAGTTAAAGTCAGCCAGGTGAAGGACTCGGAGAATTTCGTGTCAGCATCTATGGGACATGCCTATAACAAGGGGAATAACAATACCATGTCAACACCTCATGCTTATGCGAAGGCAGATGACAATAACATATCAATGGGCCTTTCATTTAATAGAGGCAATGACAATATCATATCGACGAGCGACGCATATAATAGAGTGGAAAACAATTTTATGCCCATGGGTCCACCGTATAACAAAGGGGATGACAGTACCATATCGATTGGTCACTCCTATAAGGGGACTAATAATGCCATATCCTTGGATCAGTCTTTCAGCAAGGGTGTGGACAATGTCACAACAATGGGTCAAACTTTCAACAAGGAGGATGGAATCAATTTTGATGACAGGAGCATTCCATCAGTTGGCACAGGCAATATCAATATGGGAAGAAAGGTCATTCAGGATCCATTTGGGAGCCATTCCTCATTTGGTTTGTCTATATCTCATACACTGGAGAATCCTAGATCAGGTGTCAACTATGGTGGGATCAGAAAAGTTAAAGTCAGCCAGGTGAAGGACACTGAGAATTTTATGTCAGCATCTATGGGACATGCCTATAACAGAGGGGATAACAATACCATGTCAACACCTCATGCTTATGGCAAGGCAAATGACAATACCATATCAATGGGCCTCTCATTTAACAGAAGCAATGATGACATAATATCAATGGGTGACACATATAATAGGGTGGACAACAATTTTATATCCATGGCTCAACCATATAACAAAGGGGATGACAGCACCATATCGATGGATCAGTCTTTCAGCAAGGGTGAGGACAATATCACAACAATGGGTCAAACCTTCAACAAGGAGGATGGTAATAACTTATCAATGCGCAATACCTTCAAGGACATCAATAATAGCGTATCAATGGGTCAATCCTTCAGCAAGGGTGATGACTCTATCCCATCCATGGCTCAAACCTTCAACAAAGATGATGGTAAAACTATTCTGATAGGTAAGTCGTTCAACAAGTTGGATGACAGTGCCATATTAATGGGCCACATCTACAACAATGTTGAAAACAATACTTTATCAATGAGTCACTCTTTTGGTAAGGGAGAAAGTAATATCATATCCTTTGTAGGCTTTCAGGACAATGATGATATAAATTCTTCTGGAAGGCTTATAAGCGGTTATGACTTGTTGATGGGTCAGTCTTCAGCTCAAAGACCAGAAGCACCAAGTGAGAAAGATTTGGGAGAATCAAATGTTGATGCCCTTGAAAGTGCCACTAAGGTAACTTCCTCTGCAAGTGAAACTGTTTCTAAGAAGGAGGATCAAAAAGGGTCCAAAAAGGTTCCTTCGAACAATTTCCCTTCAAATGTAAAAAGTTTGCTTGCAACTGGTATGCTGGATGGATTACCTGTGAAGTATGTTGCCTTGTCGCAGGAGGTAAATTTTAGTGTACATGTGTTCATCTTTCCGATATGCTTATGATTTGGTGACTCATGGTTCTTCTGTGCATGTTAGAAGGAGCTTCACGGTATCATAAAAGATTCTGGTTTTCTATGTGGCTGTCAGTCATGTAATTTTTCCAAGGTCAGTTGGGTTTACTTGGGTATTAGGTTTGTTATACAAAGTGAATTTATAAACCCATCCTGTTAAGCTAATTTCCAATCAATTGGTGTGTTTAGGCAATTAATGCGTATGAGTTTGAGCGTCATGCTGGGTGTAAAACAAAACACCCAAATAATCACATATACTTCGAGAATGGGAAGACTGTTTATGGCATAGTTCAAGAGCTCAAGAACACGCCTCAGAATTTGTTGTTTGAAGTTATCCAGACAATTACTGGATCGCCCCTTAACCAGAAATATTTCCGTCTTTGGAAAGGTAATTCATCTTATTTGGTTTAGTTACCGATTACAGTTTAATCTAATTTTGTACTACTGTATTTCCCGTTTTCTCAAAATTATTGTGAATCGCAAATTGTGATATACTGTACTTTTCTCTTCATATGCACTCCTTTTCCTCTTCTTCAGAATCATTCGCAGCTGCTACTTGTGAACTTCAGCGTATATATGGAAAGGACGAAGGGAAACAATTGTCATAAAGTTGCCTAGCTCAAGTATAAAGGTAGGAAAATCTTTATTTTGCTTAAATATATATGTACATGCCTTTTTGGGAATCCAAGTATTAAGAGGTCATGTATCCTTATGTTTTAAAGACGAGGTTTTGTTGTAGAATTAGGAAATCAACATTACACAGCACAGAAAGAACCGTTTATCTAGTCACTCAATGCAAGTTTCCACTACGCCATCTTAAATTTTCTTCAAGGAGAAATGAAAATCAAGATGGCTGTTACTGCTATTGTTTAGGCAGTTTATGTCAATTCTTCGATACATATTTGGTCCGTCTGATTAGTCTTTGATATCCATTAGGCTGACTACTCGCAATTTGCTTGAAGCCTTTCTTCTGCTTCTGTTTGGGTTTTCTACTTTTGTTTTAACCTTGTGAGGAGTATTTGAGCAGGGTTACCTTGAGCGGAGTAATTGATCAGGGGTACCTATATTTTTTTATGAATGTGAGCTGGTTTTGCAGTGGAATTTAGATTGTGACAACCTGTTTGTTTTCTATGAAAGTGATGATCTGCTGTTGGTCCTACACAAGGAAACATAATGGCAGTGAGAAATATGGCTTACTGGTTTGCTGTGAACTCTGATTTGGAGCCCAGTTTGTTCTTTCCATGCTTAGTTTATTTCATGGCTAAGAAGCATGGACACCTCTCTGCAGGCAACGTATGGGTGTCCGACACGTGTCGGACACTCTACCTGCTGTGTCCCCCACTTTTTTTTGAATTTCTTCAGCCGGACACGCTTGGGACACTCTTGGACACTTGACGGACACATTGGAGACCTATGATGCATGGACACGAACACGGGACACGACACGGATTTGTGGACACGCAATTTTTCAAAAAATGGGGATACAACACGCCGGGGACAAGTTTAATATGTATAATTTTATTTATTTATTATATGTCAAAAATAAAAAGAAAATCATTGATTCTTATACAATTACAATAATAATGAAATTAATAAACACATTTCTTAATTTTTTTAAATAAAAAATGAGTTTTTTTAGATAAAAATAATTTATTTTATGAATTTTAGGTTTAACAAAAACAAGGATAAAAAAAAAAGAAAAAGAAAAAAGAAAAAAAAAACGAGGGGAGAAATCAGGAAAATAAAGGAGAGAGAAACAGGAAAAAAGAAGAAGAGAGAAATGGGTGAATCACGAAAAAGATAGAACAAAAAAATTAAAAAAAGAGAAACAAAAGAGGAGAGTCAAATCAGAAAAGGTGGAGAGAGAATTAGAGAAGACGAAGACGAAAAGGGAGAGTGAAACAGAAAAAGGAGGAGAAGAAAAAGAAAATGAAGAGAAGAAGAAGAATAGAGAAGATGAAGGAGACAGAGAAGACGAAGAAGAAGAAGAAGAAGAATACCTTAGGCTTCTTCGATTGATCTGAACAGTTTAGGGCTTCTTTCTCTCCCTCGATCTCTTTCTCTGCCTCCTTCCTTCCTCGATCTCTTTCTCTCTTTCCTCTCTAACAGTTAGGGCTTCTTTGATCCACCTCACGCGTGTCCGGAAAGTGTCATGGTGTCTGATTGGAAAAATTAAAAAAAAAAAAGAGGACACGTTAGAGAGAGTGTCGGACACATGTCCAGTGTGTCTGACACATGTTCGTGTCCGACATGTGTTTGACACTCGTACGCAGGCCCTGGGCACATGTCGGTGCTTCATAGTTGGAGACAAAGCGGGAGAAACCCTAACCCATAGACAGAGAAACAGAGAGAATGAGAAAGGGTGAAGAAGAACCAGTTTATGCCTTAGATCTAAGGTATGTTCTTTTTTTCATTTTTCTTCTTCTTTCATCGATTCTTCTGCCTGTTTGTCTGTCTCTGCATGTCTTTGTGTTCTCTCTAGCTCCCTCGCTATGTGTGCTTGACTCTCTTGTTCGCTTTTTCGGTGTTTGACTGTCTCTCTCGCTTTCTTTGCGTTCGATTCTCTCTCTCACTTTTTCTCTGTGTTGACTCACCCTCTTATCTCTCTTCGTTTCTTTTTTTTTTCCCCTCTTTTTTTTTTTTTTTGGATATTAATCTGAAATAAATTATTTTTATTTATAAAAAAATAATTTGTGAATGAAATTTGATGTTAAAGTAAATAAATAAAATAAACAAATAATATATATTTTTAAATTTTTTTAGATGGATTTTTAAATATATTTTATTTATAAATAATATATAATTTTATTTATATAAATAATATTTTTTTAATTCTACATATAATAAATAAATAAAATTAAATGTATTAAGCGTGTCCCAGTGTGTTTTGTCCTTTATTTTTTTGAAAATTTACATGTCCGTGTCCGTACATCATAGTTTCATTTCATGGCATATAAATGCATTTAAGGGTTACTCCTACTGTCTAACTAGGTTACCTATACAGTTGAGTGGACATTATATATAGTTGATAATTATTGTTACATGCTGTGTATTTAAGTTGACTGAAATTATTTTCTTGTTTTCATAAGCATTTACATTCTCATGCAAAATTTTCAGGTTGTGAGAATTTAGTACCTAACTAGGGACTGTTTGAAGGATGTAGTGTTCAGTGCTTTGTTGCAACGACGGGTGACCTGATGGGATTCAAGAACAATAGAGAGAAATTGTAGGGAGAGGAACCGAAAGGGTTCTAGAGAGTGAATCTCTATCAAATCAATTATTATTCATCAAGGTTGAGCCTCGCACTCTCAAATCAGGATAATCTTTGCCAAATCAGGTCTAAATCATCCTGGATTCACACTTGTGAACTCAACCTAGAGGTTTGATATTGTCTTTTATGCTCGAAATCGGAGTCAAGCTGAACAACCTAGGGTTCGACTCTCCCTGGTGATCAAAGTTCAACTCAGGTTTGACTCTCTCTCTGGTGATTGATTTCGAGTTCAATTTGGTCAATTGAATTGACTCAATCAGGACTCGAAATTTAGGGCAAACAAAACTGATCTGATGAATTAATGCTCCAGTAGGAAGAAATCAGGTACAAAACCTGATGCTTTGATACCAACTAACGCAATCAAAATGCAAATCAAAGATCAATTGAGAGAGAGAAGACAAATCCCCATTTAGGGCATGAACCCCTAAGGTTTAAAGAGAGAAACCAAGGCTCTACTCCAATCAAAATGTATAATCTTTAATCCAAAAAACTAAGTACAATGGCATTACATCACGTATGTATAGACTACAACTAAGCAACTAATAGCCCACCTAATCATACACTAGGTATTTGTTCTACTATATCATGACCATTATTTTTAGATTTGGGTTTGAGCGAGAGTGACTCTACCTTGTTAACAACTAATGCGTAATTAACCTTTTATCAATTGGGTTGTAGTGTTTAAGTTGATTTATTTATAATTTTCACTTGGTGTCTGGGTCTGGTTTAATTCGGATTACTTGGACTAATTTAGAATCTGTTACACCCAAATCAATCAATGTGCATGAGTTGAGCATGTCAGGATAACATGTGAAGATTGTTTTGACATATCAGTTAATCAATGTTAGAATAAGAAATTGAAAGGGCTAGTCCCCTTGTGCCTTGGAAGGAAAGACTTGTGCATAGTGATGGGGTCAACAGGATCTTGATAAATTGAGATTCTGAGATTGATGCAGAAGTGGATGAGAAGGATAGACTATGTGAAGCTTAAGAGTCATGAGTACTTAGAAATAAAGGTAATTGGAGACGGGATAAAAGGAAGTTGGCTAATTTAGTTTCATTATGTTACACAGAGGCCAATGAATTGATTTGTAAGAAAACATATGGTTTTGGTTGAACGTGATACAAAAGATGATTTTTTGGGCTTGTTAAAAATGTTAGCCAACTAAGTAAGGGTTGTTTTGGTCGAATTTGACAATTAATATGTTTGTGAAGTCATGATAACTTGGTGATGTGCACGCTTGAATTGCCTACTCTTCTTGTTCGTTTTATTTATTTATTTTTTTATAATGAACTTTGAACTCATAAAATTAGTCCTGCTTGTGGGGAGTTGGTCAGTATGGGTTTGTACTCATTTGATTGTCCTGAAGTGCACAATAATTAAATTTTGTGGTTATTTTAAGGGATTCTATGAAACTTAAAACGAGACCCACCATGAAAGTCCCAAATTTAGGTTGAGTTCATCAACTCAAGCATTCAACAAGTTTAAGTGCCTATCAAAATATTTGGCTCCCTATGGTATTTGAAATCATGAAGTTAGATGCCTAGGTTAGAATATTCCCATCCATATCATCTTTAAGCTGGTGTTTTCTAACCCATTTCAACACTTAAAATCAAATGTGTTAGGTGAAGATAAGTTAAATCTTTGATAACCACAATGCTATCACTTAAAATACTAAGCATCTCTTAGAAATAGGCTGAAATCTCAAGCCACAAACCTCTTACTTAATTTGAACGCTGAATAATAAATTTTTAATCTATTATGATTATGTCATCAATGAGGTGTATTGCCATCACCCTATCAATGCCACCGCCACTGTACACCGCCGCTGCCGCCACTTCACTACCATCACTGCCCCCCTCCACCTATACCACCACTGTCGTCACAGCTTACCCATCATATCACTACCAACACAATCTTCACTCATTGTCGAACCACCACCATCGCTGCGGCCACCACCACTATCACTCCATAACCGCCATTATGATCACCACCACCCCTCTATGGATTTGGTGTGGACTTTGGCTCATAATAGTCTCATGACCTATGACATCTCTAAAAAAAGGAGACCTAATTGCAATATTTGCCTTCAATGGTGTAATATGTGTAGGAGGAATGAGGAATCATTGAATTATTTATGGTTGCATTGTCCCTTGGCCTTGTCTTTATGGCACCGGCTACTCAAATTGACGGATATGTGCTGGATGGCTCTAGTTTCTTGCTCCCAATTGCTTTTAGTCGACTTTAGAGCTTTTGGTACCCATAAGAAAGCGAAGTCTTTGTGGAACAGTGTATTCTTTTAACTTCTATGGGTTAGTTATTTGGTTGGAGCGCAATTTGAGGGTTTTTGAGGACAAATTTTAAGACATTGATCCTTTGTGGGATATAGTGTGTTATTTATCCTCTTTTTGGACTTATGTTTCTAAACCTTTCAAGGGAATTCAATTTTTTTTTGTTTTTTTTTGTTTGATTTTTAGGGATTGGAGATTTATAGTTTGTGATCTCAATGAGTTTTTACTTTTTTCATTTCTTTTGTTTACTATGTCACACTTCTTGTCCACCACTCTCATGTACTCTTTAATTTATTATTATTATTTTCTTAGTAATAATATTCCTTTTGTTCCTGATTAAAATAAATGATAATGTTCTCCTTTGCTTATCATACCTAATACCTACTCATTCACATCTCCATGATAACTCTTGAGACCCAACTATGGCGAACTTATTGTTCACCACTCTCATGTACTCTTTTATTTATTTAATTTAATTTAATTTAATAATATTCCTCTTGTTCCTGATAATTAAAACAAATGATAATGATCTCCTATGCTTATCATACTTAATACCCACCCGTTCACATCTCCATGATAATCTCTTAAGCCCCGACTATGGCAATAGGTGGTTGAAACCTCTAGATTGCCGATCTGAGGACAAGCCACCTCTTATCATGCCTAATGCCTACCCATTGCCATCTCCACGATAATCTCCCAAGACCCAACTACGGCAGAGATACAAATATCATGTCTGACATGTTTTGAAGAGAATATGTTTTTGTGTGCAGGCATGTACAAATGCATGTTGAACAATTTTCTCTTGGGGAATGTTGAACAGTTTTTTCTTGTTAGGGAAGCTTCTGCAGCTACAACGTCAGTGTCTCAGTGACATGCATATTGGTTACCTAAGGATGCAAACCATTATAAAGGTTATGGCGGGAAAAACATTGCACATAGTGGCTGCAAATGTTGCTGTTGTGTATTTCAGCATGGAACCTTTGTCCCAAATCCCTCTATCATCTTCTTCCAAAACATTGACAGCCATTTGATCATGTCTTGAGATTGTCGTACTTTGAAATTTTAACATGATCTAATGGTTGTGAGTGATTTGGGATAGAGGGATTTGGGCACTCTGGTTCGTGGTTGTGTATTTCATACCCAAAACTACAGGTTCTGGTCAATGACTGGTCTGCAAAAAGAGATATAGTACCTGGTTAGATGGTCATTGCATGAGGAATTATGAGGAAACTTCAAGTCCAGTAATTTGGGGAAATTACTTGACTAATTTTGGTGAAGATTGAGTCATTTTGGCCTTATGTTCCTGTTGAAAATGCTTGTGAGCTCTTAGTGCTGTTTGTGACAAACACTTCTACCAGACTTATTGATGTTGATGATGAAGTTGACGATGATTATACTGAAATACGCATGCATGCATGCATGCACACACACGCGTATAGAGAGAGAGAGAGAGAGATCCCCCCTTTTAATACTTAGAAAGGATGTCCATCCCTGATATCCATCACTGATATCAAAGAAAGGCTTCATCCTATCGCCTATCAGACGATTTAAATATATGCTAATTTGGTACCTTGATTTTCATTGCTCCCTGCCTCTAATATCCAGCGTTCTAGCTGGCTTTTAGAGAATCCTTCATCTTCAAATATGCATGATTTACATGGGTTGTCTTGTCTTCATTTCTTGGGAGTTCAGTAAGCTCCCTTAGGGTATGACTTCTCTAGGGTGACTAAGGACACACCCAATCAAACGGTAATACGATCGCCTCTACTGGATCTGTCCCATACGGTTGTTTTCAAGTAGTGGTGTAATCAAAATGTGTATTGCGTACCTATTTTTCAATAGGATGTCTTAGTAGTCAGATATTCTCAACGTATTTCAAATCTGGAGATGCCACTTAAGTTCTCTTGGAGAAGATTGATGGGAAGATTAGCCTGTTATCCCTAAAGCGATTCCCTTCTTCTGACCTACTTATGTCATTATGCTTCCAATTTGGGTCATAGTTACATTTTCATGAGATTGAACTCAATAGTTCAAGTTTCCTTTATTATATATACTTAATTGACCCAATTTTAAATCTGCAGGGATTGGATGTCCAAGGTAAATTGGTTTCGTCTGCATATGTGGCTGCAGAGGTCTTGTAGTCTTGAGCAAAAGCCATTTCTGTGCGAGCTCACAGCTCTCAGTAAGCTCCATTGGGAAGATATGTAATATTTTTTTTTGATGATGAATGGCTGTAAATTAGAAGATGGTGATAAGAAGGTTTTGCATCATGTTCACATCAATGCCATTACCAATGTTGAGGTAAAACATTAATTAATAGAAAATTCCCTCCCTCTTAATTACATTTTACCAATGCTTTGATATTTTTACTTCGAAGCCAAGACCATGGTTTAAGTCGCTATGCATCATGCACTGTGGACAAGTAACTCAAATGCCACTGTGCACTTGGGCTTTATTGTTGGCACTGGACATCACACATCCAATTTGGAACTCCCATTGATAAGGTTTGGCCGTTGATATGTTGGTGCTTGCGTAGATGTTGTAGGGTCTTGGATTTTGAATATGTGCAATCAAGTGTGTGTGTGTTTGTGCACATGCGTATGTGTATTTGATTGCTGGGCATAGAGGGTGAAACCTAAAAAATTCAATGGTAGAGTTTTACATGTATGGGTCCAGATGGATCCCTTTAGCTCCAACAAAAGAATATGGGAATGTTTAGTTCATTTTTGAAATGTCTTTCATTTGGTACAAGTTGTCATCAATTTTATACTCTTCTCAGACATATTTTAGACTTGGGATGTCCATAGAACACATATAGGATGCATCACGCATCTAACTTAGAGAAGTCAGGCATGACGTTTGAGAAACAAACCCCTGGTGATGGGGAATTGGTCTGATTCTATCTTTGTTTGTTCTGTTAGAAGAAAATAGAAGTGATTCTTTGTACCTGTCAGTTTCATGCAGCTTGGAGATGGGCCTTTTTATTTTGTTCTTTTAAGGCAAGTCTTATAATATGTTATCTTGATTCTTTATGTTTTAAGCTTGAGTGGTGTTATTATTTGAAATTTATTTCAAGCATGTTGAGACCCAAATCCTTCCAACTCTATTTATTAACAGAAGAATTTAGTTGTGAAGAACTTTATATTGCAATGTGGTATGGTCAGTTTGCAGAAGGTGGTTGTTTCAAACAAGGGTTAATTACCACCCAAATTTCATTAAATATGAGCGAACATCCGTTAACTCCCTTCATTTATGAAATACATTTTGATCTCTCCAATTATAAAAAATTTGTTACGAAAGTATTTTTCCCATTTGGAGGGGTTGAAGTTTAGCATTTTTATAGTTGGGGTTGAAATATATGGATTTATATATGAGGGGTAAATTGATGTTCTCTGTTAGTTTTGATAGTTGAGAAGGTTATAGCTGATATGTTTTTAGAGCTCTAGCTATATAAAATTAATATTGTTCGGATGTGTTTATGGTTTTGAAGTGTTCTCCCAGAGCAAATGTTACATTAACAAATTGTTCCAAGAGATTGAGGCTGTGATGACTCGGGGAGGTTGGGAATTCAGAGACTTGGCCTCATTTGATAAGGCTCTTTGTTGAGGAAAGTAGCTTTGCATATTTTGATCATGAACCCTCTCAGTAAGAAGAAAAAACTAACTTTCACCACGAGCTCACTTTCGAACCTGTTGGAAATTGGGTTAGATTTGACCCAACCCATTACTTATGGAGTGTTCACATAGGTTATTGATAATTTATATATTTAAGGTTGGTTTGGGATGTTTTAAAAAAGTGTATTTTTTGATTTATTAACTTATATGGGTTGGGTTTGGGTTGGATTTGATGTGATGTGTTAGAGAGGTGATGTGATTTAAATAAGATGATGTGACTTAAATAGGATAGTGATTTTTTGACTTTTTGTATTATTTAGTTCATGTCAAACCAACTCTTAATAAATAAGATAATTAAGAGATTATCTTTTAGGTATAACTCCACTTTTGTCAGGAGAGAATCTCTATTTATTTGATATAGAGAAAATCAATAATACGGATTATTATTTTGTGAGTTTACCCAAAAATCTCTTGTAGAACTTCTCTTTGTTATTCCTTCTTAGGTCACCGTTATAGAACTTATGGATTTGGAGTGTGGATTCAACATTGAGAAACTTTGGTTGTTTCTCAATTGGCGGAGGGTATTTCAGACGAGGCTTGTAACCCAAGCATCTGATCCAAATCGTGTTCACTTCAGGTAATATGATTACTCGCATATTTTTCTTTCATTGGTATCAGAGCTATATTGCTTGTTTTCGCCTCATGATTTGCATGCCATAAATTGCATTTATTCATGTTTAATTGAATATTGCATGTTTAAATATTGTTATATATCATGGCATGTTAAAAAAGTTTAGTTCTTATAAAACTCCATTAGAGTGGATTTTTTATCTCAAAAATCAGCATAAAAAATTTCTTTTCAAAAATTGAAATTTATATATTTTTGAAAGTATTCTTTTTATCCATATAAAATGGATTCTAATTGGAGTTAAATTGAAAAAGTTATGACTTTTGAAATTTTTTTGGGTCAAAATCGCTATTTTTGGGAATTTTGGGGAGGAACACAGATTTTGGAAGTCGAAGTGATGTCAGCATGACGCAATCGGCGTGATTGACGGCAGCACGATGCGGTGCGATGATGACGTCAACGCATTACGCGAGGCTAACGTCATCAGTGTGAAAGGCGCGCGCGTATGTGACAGTGTGTACGTGGCGCGCGTGGACGCGCCTCCACAAGCGCAGACCAACAGTCGTGACGCATATCCCAAGGTGCATGGCTGACGTGGACACGTTTGTTCTTTGGAAGTTTGTATTCCGTGTTTGGTTTGAGTTTTCTGAATTAAGCTTTTTAAAAATTGACTTTTTTGGTTTTTGTATTTTTTTGTTTTTAGTGAATATTTTTTAAATTTTAAACATTTTTTTTTTTACTTTTTTAGATGTACCTTACTTAGATGTATCTAAAAAGTAAAAAATTTATCAAAAAATATTTTAAAAAATTAATAAATACATAAAAATATAAAAAATATGATGAATTTTTGTATTTTTTTTATATTTTTGGTATTTAGTGAATTTTTAAAAGATTTTTTTTATAATTTTTTTATTTTTATGTGTATTTATGTTAGGTGTGTCTAAAAAGTAAAAAAAATTGCTAAAAATATTAAAAAAAATTCAGTAAAAACAAAAAAACACAAAAAATAAGAAAGTAAAATTTTTTGAAAAGTATTTTTTGAAAAGTGAAAACAAGTAAGGTTATTTTTCTGGAATCTGTTTGCCACTATTTTTTAGTATTAATTATATTAATTTTTTTTTTAGATATTCTCACATATTTATATATATATTTTAATTCTGACAATTACATAAAATTAGAAGTGTAAGCTTGAAAATTGCAAAAAGATTAAGAAAATTTTGAAAAATTATTTTTCTGTTATATTAATTATCATGCATAATTTATTAATTCCTTTTGGTTGTTTTGATATTTATTTTTGTGCTATTAAATTGTGGAATTAATTTATTAATTGTTTAGTATATGTTAGTTGAGAACTAATATATATATTTTTAGTCCTAGATCTTCATTACTATAATTTTTTTCCTTAGTAGGAATTGTAGGTTGACCCCCATCTTTTGACCATTTATTTATTGTTGATGTATATTTGGATGGATGGATGTAATGTTGATAATTTTTTGTGCATGTGTTTATTTATTTATTTTTGTGTTATTAGAGATAGACCCTACAAATTTATTGGTGAGGTGGTATCCTGATGTTATTTTTTATTTATTTATTAGATTCAATGTGTTAGGATTCTTTTGGGTTGTAATTATTTATTTATTTTTTGGATGTATTTTTTTTGTAGCCATGTAAGGGGATGTGTTTCCCCGTCATCAATATATTTCAAGGTTACCGTAACATGTTGCACCATATTACCAGTAGGGCTTCAAGTGGAGCCCACGCGCAAAATTATATGGTGTATTTTTTTTGGACTTATATATATAATGCATAATTTGATGTTGCGGAATTAAGAGATGATTTTGCCTTTTAAATAATTTTATTCAAAATTAATTGAGTGTCATATTTTGGCTCACATAGAGGGAGATGATTATGAGTTTAGCAAAATTTTCGATCTCTCTATGTAAGTAGAAATATTGTGTATCAATTATGTTTTTGGGAATAGAATTTTTAAAGTGTGCTAATGTTAAACTCTATGCAATCAATGTCGTGAAATGGCTTCTAAGAATGTTGTTAATTGAGTGTCATATTTTGGCTCACATAGGGGGAGATGATTATGAGTTTAGCAAAATTTTTGATCTCTCTATGTAAGTAGAAATATTGTGTGCCAATTATGTTTTTGGGAATAAATTTTTTAAAGTGTGCTAATGTTAAACTCTATGTAATCAATGTCGTGAAATGGCTTCTAAGAATGTTGTTACTGACCTCACCAAGGCCTGGTTTGGCATACACAAAAAAATACAAAAAGTCAAAAAGTTATTAAAAAAGTAAAAAAGTTATCAATATTCACAAAAAAAAAATCCCTTTACACAGGCCAAATACAAGTCATCTGATCAGTATTGAAGTGATGGTACATAGGCCAAGTACGCAAGCCAAGTCATGCGGGTGTATAAAAAATTTTGCATAGGATGGTGCTGTTCGCCTATGGAGATCACGGGTCTGGTTTTAATAATCTGAACCGTTAATGTGTAGAACTCGTCGAGTACTAAATGCCTATAAAAAATCACATTGATTAGATATCGATAACTATATGATCAAATCAGTTTTGTAAAATAAAATGAACGGTGAAGAAATTAACGGTTGACAAAAAATTAATTTGATCAGATAGCTATCGATATCCGATCAACATGATTTTTTATAAGCATATAATACTCGATGAGTTCTACATATTGAACGGTTTCGATTATCAAAACGGGACCCGTGGTGGGCCCCCACGGGTCGAACAGTACCGTCCAGTCCGATCTCGGACTGTAGGCAATCTGCTCCTATACTTGTTTCCTCTCACCGTCTGACTTCTTGGACAATCCAAGTCAGTAGGCAATTCATTATAGTAGTGGTAAAATGGAAATGTTGCTATTTTATACAACATTTTAATACATATTTTTTCATAAAAAGTAAAAAAGTTATCCCAAATAACCATATTTTTTTTCTCTACATTTTAGTCTAAAAAGTAAAAAAGTGCACTTATTTAGGATATCCCAAACAACCTCCAAAATCGAAATCCAATATATGATTAATGAATAAGAAGTCATAAAAAAATTGACCACCCTTGAGATCCGATTTGAAGAAAAGACCATTGCCCAACATTATCGTGACACGGAGATCCATCAGAATTGGGCCAAGGGAGATCGATGCGAGCGCTATACTATGCTTAGTAGCATGCACAATGATCTCACGGGGGCATTTGAAACAAGCCCCATTGCTCATTGTGGAATCAACTGAATATTACCTATGGGACCACACCTACAACTGAGCTGCATGCTCTTATTTTGAAATTTGAGCAATTTGGGCTTAAAACAGAGCGCTTGGGGTTGCATCGCAGCACTGTCCTGGTCGCCCAAGCAGGGCAGCGTCAGCATTTAGGCCTAAGCGCAACAGACAAGGAAAACATGGTGGTACAACTGGTAATCTTGGTCCTAAGAGAGGTAATATGGGAAAGGTCGTCGAGGCAAGCGCGCTGGAAATAAAAGGAAGAGCAAAGTCAAGTGCTATAACTGTGGGAAGCGAGGTCACTTTGTTTGAGAATGCCTTGATGCAAAGATGGTAGACCTTTCACATAACTATTTAAATACTTGTGTTTGTTCACATGTATGTGTTGCTAATTCTCTCAATGGTTAGATTGTAGAACTCAGAAGTAACCCGCCACATAGTTAAAGAAAGAGTTGAGCTCGTGGATTACAGAAAGATACTTGTGGGCAAGCAGTACGTTACTTTGGGTAATGGAACTCGAGAGGATGTCCTTAGAGTTGATTCTTATCAGCTCAAGACACGTTCGGGGCGCACTTTACCCCTCCATGATGTGTTTTATACTCTTGGTGTCTAATGTAATTTTTTTCAGTTATTACTTTGCTAGGTTTTGGTTTTAGTGGTAGTCAATTGGATTCCTATTTGAATAAGGGCTTGTATGGATAAGTTTTTCTTTCCAATGGTTTATTTATGCTAGATTTGGATTTTTCCTCATATCCTTATGTTTCTTGTGATAATGATAGATTTAAAAAATTCTGTTGATTGGCATACTAGACTTGGTCACATAGGATAAGATAGAATGGCTAGACTAGCTAAAGAAGGCCTGTTGGGGCATCTTGTTAATGTAAGTCTTCCTATGTGTGTGTCTTGTTTGGCAAGAAGGCTTGTAGGAAAGGCACCTAGGGCTTTATATCCTCTAGAGTTAGTCCATTATGATATTTGTGGACCTATAAATGTAAAGGCACGCTATGATGCTTCTTATTTCCTTACATTTGTTAATGACTATTCACAGTTCAATTATGTCTATTTGATCTCACATCGGTTTGAGGTATTGGATTGCTTTAAGCGCTTTATTGTACTGGTTAAGAATTAGACAAACAGGAAATTGAGCATCCTTCGAACAGATCGAGGGTGTGAATATTTATCACATCACTTCTAGGGACTGTGTGAGGAAAATGGGACATGCAAGCAGTTAACAATTCCAGGCACTTCATAACAGAATAGTGTAGTGGAAAGACGGAATCACACTTTGCTTGAAATGGTTAGATCGATGATGCAAGTCAACCTCCCTATATCTTTTTTGGGGGATGCTTTTATGATTGTTGCTTACATCCTTAACCATGTGCCTTCAAAGTCAGTTCCAACGACTCCATATGAATTATGAAAGGCGCAAAACCTGATTTGGAGCATCTGCGGCCTTGGAGTTGTGTCGGTTTTGTTCACAGTACTTCTCATAGGCATATAAAGTTAGGCTCTAGAGCAAACAAACAAGTGTTTGTTAGATGCTTAGAATGCTCAAAGGGTTATGTAAAGTATAGTGAACATCCTGATAGTGGAATGACTGAAGGTAAGTCGTGAGATGTCAATTTCATTGATAGTGAATTTCCTAGTATTAGTGAAGTAAAGAAAGATCTTGCGCTATTTGAGTTGTAGGAATCTGAGAAAGTCACACCATCTTTTGGCGAGGGTGGAGAATTAGAGACTCATCCTGAAATCGCCAAAGATAGTAGGAGTGATTTACCTTCTAATAAGAGTGTTTCACTAGAAAATGACTCAATGAGGATCCTAGTTAGGTAGAGGTGAACGAAAAATCATTTATTGTCGTCTTATGAGATTGAGGGGAAATGTTTCATGTGTGCTCTATTGGATTATGATGAGCCTACTTCTTATGAGGAAGCGTTAGTTTCACCGAATGTTATGGAGTGGATGATTGCTATGAAGGATGAAATGAGTGCTATGACTCGGAATCAAGTTTGGGAGTTGGTTGACTTTTTACCTTGGCGCAAGACTATTGACAACAAATGGGTCTTAAAAGTTAAGCGCAAGGTTGATGAGTCCAAGTTCGTCTCATGGCGAGGGGTTATAACCAAAGAGAGGATTTAGACATTCTATAGGCATTTTGCCCAGTGGTGAGATCTACCCTCATTCTAGCTATTATTGCACATTTGGATTTGGAACTTTTCCAAATAGATGTTATGATTGTATTTCTCAATGGAGAATTAGACGAGGAGATTTATAGGGATCAACCAGTAGGCTTTGAGATCAATAGATAGGGATGTAATAATAGCCTGACCCGGCCCAAGTGGGCCTTGTTGGCTCACTCATTTTTAGTGGGCCGGGCCGGGCTGACTCATGGGCCAAAAAGTGGGACCCAAGCCTACTCAT